ATATAAAAATTGACTATGCCATACGATAGACGGCAAAAAGTGTCCATGAGAAAGTGTTCTTTTTTCAATATCACCTCAAATAAGGCTGAAATTAAACAAAAACAGATTTCCAAAATTTCGGTTTTTTCAAATATTTCGAAAATTAATAATTAGCCTTGATTTTTTAGAGGGATAATGCTGGTCCCCTGATTACGCAACTTTGCCCCCTTTTAAGCTACTTCGTACCTCTTACCGTTTCCGAGATCCCTGTAGTGAGAAGCGAATTTGTAACAGCCTGTACACAGTGTCCCACCGGGAACTGCGTCGATCGATATCTAGGAAAGTACTTCTCCGAAAAATTTGAAGATTTGGCAACATGGCAATGTCCCTGGGGCGGACATAACTAAATCTCTTCAGCACCCTCTGGTTATACCGGAAGCCGACTCCAACTTCGTTATTTTAAATGGGACACCCTACATATTATTGCATTTTCGGATTCTACGTAAAACTTGAGGGTTACTTTATTAAATATTCCCTATACCTAGGAGTTATAGGATTTGAGATTTAAAGAAAAAATTTGACAGATGCAAGGGTCCGCGCAGATGCTACTAACTCTTTTCAGAAGCGTGATATCAAGTGGATTTTTGGTACCTGCAAAGAGCACAATAACACTAAATTATGGTATACCAACAAATTAAAACATTTGCTGTTACATTTTAATAAATTCAAACAGCTATAACTTTGCTAACTTAAATGGAACACCCTATATTTTATTTATTCCTCTCTAGCCATATAAGCATTGTTAGGGTTGCCGTTACTACTTTTAGAGATATGTATTTGCAATTTTCTATTTTTTGGAGAGTTTTTCTCGTATCAGACCTGTTGCCAAATTGACCATAACCAGAAACACTTCAAAAACAGTTGAAATAATTTGCCATTTGTCAAGTTAGTTGTCAAATTATTGATGTGTCTGAATAGTTTTTGTCGAAAATTTAAATAAAAATGCCTAAGGATCGTTTAATTTATACTAATGAAATGAGGATTATTTTAATTTGTTTGTTATTTATGGAAAATGTAACAAAGTAATTTCAAAAACATGTGGAGAATTTGCTGCTTTTTCCATAAATAACAAACAAATTAAAATAACCCCTCATTAGTATAATTTAAACGAGCATTTTTATTTAAATTTTCAGGAAAAACTATTCAGACACAGCAATAATTTGACAAGTAACTTGACAAATGTCAAGTTATTTCAATTGTTTTTGGAACATTTCTGGCCATGGCTAATTTGACAATACATCTGATATGTGAAAAAGTGTCAAAAAAACAGAAAATTGCAAATATCTCTAAAAGTAGTAACGGCAGCCCTAAGAATGCTTATATGGCTTGAAAGGAAATTTCAATCTGCATACGACAGGCTAAAAAAATACAGGGTATTCCATTTAAGACAACAAAGTTATAACTGTTATCGAAATGTAACAGCAAAAATGAAACAACTAGTATAAATGTTTTAATTTGTTGGAATACCATAATTTAGTGTTACCTATGCCCTTACAGTTACCAAAAATTCACTTGATATCACGCTCCTGAAAAGAATTACTAGCATCTCCGCGGACCCTTTCATCTGTCAAATTTTTTCTTTAAATATAGTGACTCAAATTTCACGTAGAATCCGAAAACGCAATAATATATAGGGTGTCCCATTTAAAATAACGAAGTTGGTGTCGACTTCCGGTACAACCGGAAGTGTTGGGTAGTTCCAGATATTTTAATTGTGTTCGCCCCAGGCACATTGCCATATTGATAAATTTTCTCTCCTAGATATCGATCGCCACAGTTCCCGGTGGGACACCCTGTATATTCTTAAATAAAAATTTGACCAGTTCATTTTAAAATGAATATAACCTATAATTAAAGTAATCGAATGATTTTTTTAGATTTAGATATTTAGATTTGTGATACTGATATGTATTTTTTTCAGTTTTTATTACAAGGTACGGCGTACAGTGTAGTAAAAGTTTTTATTAGCAATTTTTATTTGATTTTTATTTTATTATTTGTTAACTATTTTTATATAAAAATAAAGTTCATTTTTGAAGTCTTGATGTATATCTAATTTTTTTTTCTTATTAATCGTAATCGATTATGACATTCGTAATCATAAAGGTAATCGTATAATAATAATGATTTCATCACTATTAATTTGGCTATTAGGATCCTCATTTTTAAACTAGATGTGCTTTATTCAAATATGTACCTGCACCTAAAAATGCAGTGCTCAATTTTTTCAGTTACGTAATATTGCAAATTATTGTTAAAGTTTATTCGCAATAAATAGGTAATTTTCCTAATCATAGGATAACATAAAATTCCATTATTTTTCCGAAAGATAAGGCATTATCGCCTTGACCTTGATATGGCGTCTTCAAATATAAAATGCGCTGTCATTAACGAATTTTTACAAATATGTAAGTACTAGTAAAGTCATGAAATATTTAAGTAGTTAAAAATATAATTTTTAATCTACAATGGTCGTATTTTTTGCCTATTATAAGGTACATAATTGATCTGATCCAGAAAATAAATACATGGATTTAATGCAGTCAATATAATTATCTATAATTTGACCTACAAGGTCAATTAAACAAAATGTTTAAATAGCAAAAATTAAAAGCAGTAACATAAAACTATTATAGATTGTGGATCCCTTGCAAAATCGTCATTACATTTATGCTAATGTTCTTATCAATATAATGTCAATTCCACATATCCAAATGAGAAGTCTGTTCTGTATTTTTTTAAATATCCAAAAAAGGGCAAATATGTAAGAATTAGACAACAAATAATAATTTATATTAATCTAGTCATAATTTTCTTCGAATGTTTTGTATTTTATATGTAATTTATATTTTTTGATATTCAGTTATTAATATCATACTTTTACTACTACATATTTCTATTTTTAAATCAAAACCACTTAAAAAACCAATAATTAAAATGCAGAAATAAATTGATTAATAATTTTCCGTGACTAAATTTCATATTGATTTTTGTCCAAATTGATTTAAAAATGTTCCCAATGGTTTACACAATTGTTTAGAGATTTTAATGTGGGTATGTTTTTTTATTAGTACTACTTGGCACATTTTTTTTATTTTAAATAATTATTAACAACTAATTTGACTATGAAATAATGCCTTTAGCATCCTAGGTATGAAAATTAAAACTACTCTTGTAAAATGTTCGTAATTTCATAAATAACATAACAATGACCGAACATTTTATTTGTTTTACAAGGACGACAGTTTTTCAGACAAATTTTAATTAATAGATCAATAGGAAAGCTAAATCTGAGCGACGTTGATATACAAATATAAAAATAAATATAAATTAAACACAGAAATATGTAAACATAATTTAACATTCCTATAGGACGAAAAATAAGAACAAGATGCAAACGAAACTTTGAAATAAGAAAAAGTGAAGTTTCTTTCATTACGTTTGCGATACTTTGGATATACTTAAAAAATCACGGCTAACTTTCCAAGTTTTCCTGTTATTTTTCCTTTTTATTTATTAGTGCTAATAACAATAATTACATATTCTTTGTTCGATGTATAATTGTTATTTATAGGAAACATTTTAGGATTAATTTGATTTAGCCTAACTGAGTAACGTAAAATTAAAAGAGCTAAGCAAGCAAGATATGAGAATTTCTCCTATGTATATTTAAAAACTATCGAATAAACGATGGAGAAAGTAAAATTAGAAATTAATAACAGCGTAAATTTAATACTAAAAATACATTGTTCAAAAAAAGTAGATAAAATTAATAAATCGTTTAATGCGTAAATCCGGTGCCGATTATCTCTGAATTTTTCACACACGTGTTCGATAATAATCGTGAATACCGCACGGGCAGCATTGGCTTGACAGATTAATTTATTTAAGGAATTCTTAAATTTACCACAGTAATAAATCAATGTGATTGAAAATACTTGTAAAATTACTTCGACAGTAAATAAAACTCTTTGTTATTGCGTAATAGAACATTAAGGCGGATATCCATTTGTGTCAAATGCCCCGTAACGTAACACCGAACATGTTACTTTACAGCTAGTGGAGACGGAAAATTGTTGCATGGTACGTGTAACAAATTTGACACGCGTAACTAATCCGGGACGAACCATCAGTTGTCGGTTTTTAGTCGTCGCATCAAAGGGATGCAACAGTACTTTCTGCCACATGTTGAGACGGGGTTGCCCTTTTGGCCGTAACGTTGCCTGTTGCACATGTGATTTTGTCTTATTTTTTGTTTCGTCAGTCTTTTGTATATGGTCTGAGGTCAGTCTGTTTTCTGCAGTGACTAGGAAGAGTGTGTTTGTGCCATGGATTGGAGTAAAGGAAAAGATTTCCGGAGATTTCCGTTTCATAGTCTTCAAAATTGTATGATGAATAAAAATATATGACGCTGCTGCTAACTGCAATTGCAGTGACGAATCCATTATTGCAGTCAGGTTCATACTACGAGTTTATGTTTCTGTGTCGTCTCGTAACCTTATTTTGTTACGTTACGGAGTGAATGATACGACCAAAACCACACATAGTTTCGCAGCGAACCGTGTCACCATTTGCAACAGGCCGTAACATGTTCGTTGTTACGTTACGGAGCATTGCCACAAGTGGATACCCGCCTTTAGAAGCATTTTAATTTCGGGTGTATTTCTTGAGTGTTTAATAAATGTCAATATGACGAAACTACCTTAGTAATTGATACTTATTAATTTTTCTAGTTTAAAATAAAATGACAACATATAAATAAAAAAAAGCATACCATTATTAATAGAATAAAGACATTAAAACAACTAGGACGACTTTAACTTTTTATTAAACACGACAAAAAGTCAAAAATTCAGCAGCTCTAGAATCCTCAAAGCCACCACACGCCTCAAAATTTCAAGAAGAAATTAGTGGAAGGAATTTCGATTGAGGAAAATCCAAAATAAAGTTATAATAATTACCTATTCGAAGAGTCCGGGTTCGCACCAGAACTGCCCCAGTCTGGGTTCTTTTCTTTAACGGGTTTACGTTCGGATTCTATCAGTTCACCGATTTTGTATTTGACCATTAGCTCCCTGGCATCGCTGGAGTGGCCGACATCCTCGAAGGCTTCGCTTCCGTCTTTTCCGGCCTGCTCCAGGAGGACCTCTTCGCCACCAGGGTGCTGGAACAATTGCAATTATTTCACACAATGAAGACTTACAACATTTATTATATATTTTTGAAAAGCAGTACAGCATAGGTACAGGATTTAACGGCTGCGTTAATACAAATGGTCCATCTTATAAGAATCAGCAAAAGAAAAAACAAGAATAACAATTTCTCTCAAACGCAGGTGAGAAATGGGGATCGATCGTTATCGAATTTTATATCAATATTTTTTTATTAAAAATAACTTGTTTAGTTAGAAGTAGAAATAAAAATAGTTACTTTACGATTCCAAATTTAAATTTAAAAAGTCAAATTTTGAGTAATACATGTAGTTTGAATCAAAATATATTATGTCTTGAAATACTTTCCTTGAAGATATAAAAAACGTTTCTAATAAAATTAATTAACACTCGAATTGCGCGTTTTGTATCTTATCTATCGAGTTGATTCTTTTTTTGTGTATTGGTAGCACTGTCAATGAGGTTCCTGTCAATTTTTAAGCAGCTGCCACGCTTAGTTGTGTTTAACGATCGAATGAGAAACACTTACCACAATGTTTTTGATCTATCCAAAAATAAATTTTCTTACGAATATAATTCAATCATTTTTAGTAATTCGCGTAATTATAATTGACTTTTATTCTAAAATTTGACCAATGTATTAAAACATGTAAGAAGATTCCACAAATATTGCAAATCGTGACAACTTCTTGATCAATTTCTTGGACAATTTATTAGCACAAAAATTGTAAATATAAAATAAATATTCCTAATTAATATGCTCGTTAATAGGTCTGTTTCTGCAGAAGTTGAGGACTGATTTGAAACTATGAGATATTTGCCCAATTTGACATTAAATTCGCTGAACGTACATGACAATTTAAGTGGCCGAGTATGTCTGAGAGTTTGAAAACACTGTGAGACTGCTGCAGAAACAAACCTAATATGTAGGTAAATTTTAACCTGCAAAACATTAATTTCCATTTGAGGACTGATTTGAAACTATCAGAGATATCTGACCAATTGATTCGTAACTTTATACTCGCTGAAAGTACGTGACAACTTAATTGGCCGGGTATATCTGACAGTTTGAAAACAGTTTGAGACTGCTGCAGAACAAACCTAATACATAAGTAGTAATACTGGAAGCTTCAGAAATAAGAATTTTCATTGCATTCATATTGGTAATAGAGTAATTTCCCTCTTCCTTATAGCTGCCAATAGAATGCGATATTCGCGTCTGTCATTGCAATACTTATGTATGCACCTAAATTAATATAATTCCCAGAAATTCTAATTTTAAGGGGAGTCTTTCGTATAAAGATTGTATCTAGGATCTTCGTTAAAAAGATACAGGGTGTTAAACTTCAAAAAATATTTTAAAGTATTTTAAATAATATAAAAAGTAGTAACTAAAATAATTTGAAATTGGGCACATGTATTTATGTCCAAAATCTGAGGCCTTTTTCTAAAATTTAGATGCTCCAATGGCGGAGATACAGTCATGATTTAATGATTTTATTTGAGTAAATGCTCAAAAATACTCAATTTCCACGAACACAGGCGCACTTCTTTTTAGTAATGAAAATGTAATTTGTTCGAAATTTATCGTTGCTTGAATCTTTTGATCTTGCTTGAATCTTTTGAAATTTATCGTTTTTTCGAACTGCTCAGAATTTCAAAGTTGTTATTGCAGCCTACTATGTAATTTTAAACCGAATTTTATTCGAATATGGAAGTGTGTTTTCAGTTCGATTTTTAAGTTTTACTCGTAAATCAGACTTTTTTTCGAAAAACATTAAGAGTAGTAATAAACAAAAAAAGTAATTATTTAATTTATTGACTACTTTTAAGTTTCTTACAAACATGTATACAGGGTGTTCCTAAATAAGTGTCGCAACGGAAAACTGTAAATTCCTCTTGAAAAAAGAAACATATTTTTCCTCTTCCATTTTTCTCTCCGGGCTTTCGTTTTCGAGATACACGGTGCCAAACTTTAATTTTTTTTTAGTTTTTCGCCAATATCTTAGGAATCGTTTGAACTACAGGACTGAGCTTTTGTACACACATTACCACTATTAATAACTACTTTTTCGCACGCTTCTCGAATTCATTGGAATGTTTGCTTTTGTTCATAAAAAGTCATTTTTCTTGAAAACGGTTGACTTTAGAGCAATGAACCAAGAGAACTCTTATTGTATAAAATTCATTGGCGCTTAAGAATTTTCTGTCAAAAGTCAATTTTTCCAGTGGCATAAAATTTAGGGGGGGAACCCTTACGATACCTTAAAATCTCCACCACTGGCACGTCCAATGAATTCGAGAAGGGTGCGAAAAGTAGCTATTAATAGTGGTAATGTAAGATATTGGCGAAAAACTAAGAAAAAAAATTAAAGTTTTGACACCGTGTATCTCGAAAACGAAAGCCCGGAGAGAAAAATGGAAGAGGAAAAAAATTTTTCTTTTTTCCAGAGGAATTTACAGTTTTCCGTTGCGACACTTATTTAGGAACACCCTGTATAACAGTTTAGATAAAACACTCATCAGAACCATCTTATCCTCGTATCTCTTTATGTAACTAAGTTGGCAATGCCAAAATTGGCCAATAGTACCGACAAGTCTCTTAAGTATAAATTTAAAATACAAAATTGATTAAGGAGCATTTTTTATACAATGAAACATGAACGTAAATATTTCTCTCTACTAACGAATCGTAAGCTGGAATTATTTAAAGTCTATCGGAATCATAGAACTGATTGTGTATTTGTCTTTACAGTAGGTAGCAAGAAAAATAGTTGCAATGCACAAATTACGTCATTCGAAATGTATACATTTATAAAAAATTGAGTCGCGTTTACAGTTATGCAAAATTTCATGACTGTTATTTACAACAATTCAATTATCAGTACCTACCATTCAAGGTTAGTTAATATTATGTTAAAATGGTTTTTCTAGCTACTCCTCTCGATTCCTATAAAATTGTGATTTTAACTATATGAAATGTTGCACAAGATGTGGAATCAAATAAATTTAAAAAGCAGTTATATACGTAAATGGAGATAAAGTTCTGTTCGGAATAGCATCGAATTTCTAAATTAGAATTAGAATTTCTGTAAGTTGATTTTAAAATTAGTAGATATTTTTGATAGTGACAAGAATGAATTAAAATAAATTAAAGATACATGTTTATTTTATTTATTATTTTACTATTAAAGCATTAGTCTAGAATTATATTTTCTATTGCTATTGCTACTAGGTATTCACTATCAGTGTGATCTTTTCATGATAATCTTATCGTTATGTTTTGAATCCTATAAATTTGGCTTTTTAATGATAACACATGTTTTAGCTTTACTAATGTTGGAATTGGATGACAACATTTTTTTAAATTGTTTTTGGAATTTTAATGTTCCAAAAATTTGGATAACTGTACATACTTAAAATTTACAATAACATTGGGCGTCTACTAATAGCAATCTATCATTTTAAAGCGCACATTATAAATTAGCACTTTTCAATGAAATTTTGATTTTCAAATAATCTAGAATATTAATTGTACGTCTTATTATATACAAATAGTTGTAAAAATTTAGAAACAGCTTATAAACAAAAAGCTAATATGTGAATTTCTGCGGCAAGTAGGCAGTATAAAAAATAAAACATGTAAAACACTTACTGTGTATATAACTTTTCTTTTTATAAATAGAATGTCAAAAACTCAAAAATTATGCAAAACGTATTTTCTAATTTATAGTCTCGGATTCTGTTATTCTCTGAAAACTAGTACTAGATTATCCCAGGAAACTGAATATCGTAATAATAAATAAATAACTTTAAAGTACTCGTACGTATGACTTAAGTAAGCATATTATCGCAATGAGGTCAAAGTCTGATATCATTTTAAATAATGAGGCCATGTTTACATCTGCTCTAATACTTAGATAATTTTAAATTATAAAGTATATCTCTATTTCAAAATACAATGTCATTTATTTTGTACATCCATATTTTATATTAACACACTGCTTATGTCATTGAAAATGTACATAAAAATAACTGAAAGACATAATATTAAATTAGTTAAGTAAACACATTTTTAGTAAATATAAATAGGTACATAATTTTTACCTGTATTTTCGCCGACTGCCGGAAACATATATTTTAATTTGCACGTTGAAAAATATTTCATCCACCTTAAAGGACATTAGTCAAAAAAGTAAAATCATTACTTATATCAATTCATTTTGTACCAAATAATATGTACCTACCTATGCACCCATTACATTTTACTTCATATTACAGTTGTTTGGACTGGATATTTTACACGATTTTCAAAGGGGGTTTTCATTAGATCAACATTAAAGCATCAGAATTCATAATTTTCTCTATTCTATTCAAAAGAAGAAACATACAAACTTAAATATTTTGTAAAACTATGAGTAATTATGCAAACGACAATGAATATGCAATTATCCATTAACAATTAAATTGGAATGAAAAAGTTAGTTCTGATTTTATAATAAAAAACATTCAACGCACGTTACATATCCACAATCAAAATAAGTTTATAAAATTTTTGTAACCTCAATCTTTACATAAGCTTTCGAATGAAATTTTGTAATTTATGTTTACTATTTTATTTCAACTATTGATTTAACTTTACGGAACCGGGTAAGGGAAGAAATACAAAACTTACCTCATTTAAAAACTCTGTCACATCATAAATATTATTATGAATTACAATCCAAGTACTCCTATTATCATTGTGGCCTTTTACTTCTGCGAGAGAGTATTGTTTGGTCATATTTAGCTTAAATTAGTATCACCCGCACGATACAGCACTGGTACAATAATGTATAATAACCCGTTTTATAAATAATCCTTGATTTTCAAGGGATGACGTATAATATCAGGCAAAGTGTCACAAAGTACTCGAAAAGATAAAACTCACTCTATTTGTTTGCTAGTCATTCTATACTTCCTCTTCTTCTTAAATTGTACTTCGGATCACAAAACATTTGTGCTACGGATTGATAGTTTTATAGTTATGATTACAACACGTCCGCGTCCGCATAGCAATAAGAGATGGAGAACAAACCAGAATAGGACTAATAGGAGATAAATTTATTTAGGTTTAGGTATATGAGCAAGTAAATAACGGGGTTTTATTCTGTGTCTTCTGTTAGCAGCAGCGGCAGAGTACGCCATCTGTAGCTGGTGCGGCAAACGACACACTCGAAAACCACAGACCATAAAATAATTAAGGAATCTGCATGGGAAAACACAATTAGAGCAACCTCTAATTCTACTATCTAATAGATGTCGCGGCTCCATAATGGCGGTAAATTTAAATATAATAAAGTTCACTAAGAATAAAATTTATTTGCTCATATAGGTTTAAGACCAATCAAATAATGAGAATCAGTATTAAGTAGTATTTTGCCTCCGGCCTATTCATAATAATTCGTGGTTATGAACCTCAAAAAATAATTTTTAATATTCCAATTGTTATAACTTATCTTATAAGTTAAAAATAGTGTTTTTTTCTAAGTGAAGATTTCTTTACTAACAATTAAGTTTATTAACTCGTCTTTCCATTCAAAGTAGTGCATTCATTTAGTACTTACTGAACATTTTTTTAACAAACAGAAGGGAAACAATTTAAAACATTTTTTAAATAATAATATAATTTTTTTATTTAAAATATAAATGCTCTCTAAACTAACAAGTTAATAATAAAAATACATAAATTATATTTTATAGGTACAAGTTAAATATGTATATAAAGATTATTATATAACATTATCTGTCAATCAGAATAATCCATTGTTTTAATGTACTCTACTGCTGCACAAAACTGTGTCCACCAGTACTCTTCTTCTCCAAAGAGCTGATTGTGGGAAAAACTGTTAACGTATTGAACAGTTGACAACAAAGCTTCAGGATTTACCTGCAGAAAGACAAAAATTAAGAATATTAAGGAGTTCCAGAAAGGGGCGTGATACAAGGTGCATTCTTACGATATTATATTATTGCAATCACGACAACACAGTATTTCGTAAGCGTGTTTGTGGAGTTACGAGGGATACCCCAATCACAAGAGCACGAGACATGCCATTATCGCAACATCACAATAACTCACCTTGATTGCTCCTGTTTATAAAAGACTAAATCTTCTTGTGTGAGAATGACAAACTAAATTTCAAACAAAATTAAAACTAAAAGTAGACCTCTATAGAATACCAAAACAAGTTTTCAAATAGCTTACACGATAATAATACAATTTCGATGCAGCTTGTACTATTATTCTTAGGAACAAGTATAGTTTCTTTTTGTAGGTTTCCCTTATTTTTCAAAAAGATAGAAAAAAGTAGACAGGGATTCAATTTTCAAAAAGTCAAATGGTACCTACCTATCTGCCATCTTTTATCGCATAAATGTTTGAACTGAAGCCAAAAACAGATGAATTTAAAAAAAATAATTTTTGATGCTTGCCATGTATCTTGAAAAAAATATTTTACATATCAAATTCATTCATTTGAAATGGAATTTTAAGCATATTTCAAATATTGAAAGATATATGTTCTATTTAAGAAAATATAAATAAAAATTATAACTGCAAACTGGCTTCTACGTCAAAAAGTATAAAAACTTTACAGAAAAATCAAATATAAGAGAAAAATCAAGATATGGAAATTTGGTTTCCACCAATCAATGTTTTTCCCACATGCAGTCCGTTTAAAAGTAGACGTGCAAATATATATTGTATACAAAGTGTCGATCCTTGAAATTGGCTGCCAAACATATGTAACTTAATAACTATTTTTGAGAAAAAAGATTATGCGTCCTATGTTTCATTATTAAAATATAATGACTTCAATTTTCATCAGTCATCAGTGTGTAGAGCCTTCTTTTTCTTAAACACTTTAATAAAATAAAAAAGCTGATTTTTTTTGTCTCTTGGAAATTACAAATTTACATTCTGTAGCAAATGAATGATGGTAATTGAAAAAATTTTTACTGTTTTTGAGTAACATTAAAAAGTGTCATGATGTATAGTCTTTCCGATATCAATTGAAGTACCAAGAGGTTGACAGTATGTATCAGATTTGGTCGCTGATGCAGCAATTCGACATCGAAATATTTGACAAACTTGTTCCCATATTTATTTAACCTTACCCATATACAGATCTGGTCGAACTAAACGTGGACGTGATAGAAATGTATACGCCCAGTTGAAGAACGCGAGTGCGGGCAAACGAAATACAAACACAGCTGCATTGGGCCAATGGGCAGTAAATCTGAGCTGTTGACAAGTGGTTGACAAATTGCCCAGCAGTGCAGTGCAGCAATGCGGAATTTGGTGTGATTCGGGTAATATTAATTTATTATAGGCACCTTCTATTAATCATTGATATTACAATTATTAATTGCGAAAGGAAAAAATAATATTTTTACAACATGGGATTTTGGAGACCTTTTGAAACGGAACAAAACAAAATTTACCATCAATATAATAAAATTGTTTGAAGACATAAATAATTAAAATATATTGTTGGCCATATGAACATATAATAGAAATTTTCTACACATTATATACAAATATTATAATTTTTTACCTTTAGCAGAAAACTTTTTTAGGAACGCCTATGAAACTCATTAAATTTTATTGCCAGTCGTTTTTTTATATGTTCAACTAACTTCGGAAAGACTATAACAATTATTTATGACAACACATCAAGGAGGCCTGTGATGTTTACCTTCAAAAAACATGCAAATAATTCTAATTATGTACTTGATATGACTATTTAACATGTACATTAATTTAGTTCATTAGTATGTACTACATGTTAATAACAAAATAAACATTGTTTTTCTTTTAAAAATTTTTTCTCTTTTTTATTTGCATATTTACAATTCGTTGGAGGTCTTAAATAATCATCTTTTATGATTGAATGCATTTATTTGCACATAAGCGCAAACGTCGCAACTCACTTTGACGTGTTATCCTTGGTATTCATTGATATACACATATGATATACTATCTAGTTTTACTCAAAAATTTTATCCACTAATATTTTTTTTACCATCTCTCTTTCATATGACAGAATCTAAAGCTGCATTTTCCAGAAGAAAAAAATTGTGACTTTTTTTTGTGAAAAAGTGGATTCTGTGCAACTTGTTTGTTCACGAGTTGTGTAATTATGTCATTAACAGCAAAAAATATGTACCAAATTTGACACTGATGCTTCGAGATAGGTATTAAAAAAAAGTGTTAATTTGTCATCCTCAAGTTGCTTCAGAAAAAGCCAAAATCGACTTCTAGTTTAATTGAGTTATGTTATGACCAAGGCACCCTCTAGAAGTTTGGCAATCCGTTTAAAGCACACCCTATATAATTTTTTTGTTGTAACACTTGCCTCTTAACACTCCTATAAATTACATAAAATCTGCATTTTTTGGAAAAAGCTTACCTTAATTATCACATAAACAAGAACTGGTGTAAAGTCATCAGCAGTTGTTGATCCACTATTCTGCGAAAGTGACAACAGATCCATAATACACTTTGCGCAGTGTACTACACATTTGACCTTATCTCTGGGTGTTCGGTAGGCGTTTAAAGCTCTTAAAGCATCTTGTGCAGGTAACCACGGACATTCCCTCAAATACATTTTATGAATCAACAGATCCTTATGCTTAGGGGTAATTATTTTTGACAATTTTTCGATGTGCTCATGCAAAACACTGCAAATTACGATTTTTCAAAATATAATAAAATTGAATACTCAGTTAATATCGATATGTAAGTAACATGTCTTAGACAGTACCTTATACAGGGTGTCCCGAAATTAATGCAACAAAATTTGGTTCTTAAGACAAATTTAGGGCACCTGTATTTTTTCTTTTTGCCAACTGGCCTCCCCTTTCGGAGTTACAGCCCCCCGAAGTCTGCCCCTAAGAAGTGTCTTTTTTATATCTCAAAATGTTGTACGAGAATCACTAAATTTGGTACACAGTGGTTTCATGACATGTGAAATCTCACAGTGCTACGCTTTTTGGCGAGAAACCCCTTTAAGACACTTTGTCTTTGGAACCAGAAAAATTTGGTCGCAAATTTGATTTTTTTTAATTATTAGTTAGCTAGAAAGCCATTGAATTTAAAAACTTTTGTGTCGCTCGATATTTGTTTCGTAAAACGCAATGTTTTTGAGGAAAATGGCGAATCACGATGTGCATTCGATCACATTTTGACATTTTTCTCGAAAACATTGCGTTTTACGAAAAAAGTATAAAGGGACAAAAAGTTACTAAATTTAATGGCTTTCTAGTGGACTGATAATTTTTAAGAAATTTAAATATGCAACCAAATTTTTTTGGCTCCAAAGACAAGGGGGCCCACGAAAAATTGTCTTAAGGGGGTTCCCCGCCAAAAAACGTTCCACCATCAGATTCCACATGTCATAAAACCCCTGTGACCAAATTTAGTGATTCTCGCACAACAGGGTTCTGATTAGTGCTGGCAACTGAAATCGGTTTTTTGGATAGTCGGTTAACCGGTTTCGGATAATTCGGATCTTTACGAAACCCGAAAACCAGTTATTCGATTCTTCAAATATCCGATTATTCAAATAACCAATTATTCAAATAACTGATTATTCGATAATCTATGCAAACATCCGAATAATTGGATTCTTTCTTTGTAGCCAATAACTACATAACACCATAATATAGTCTTAGTGTTATGTAGTTATTTACACTGGCTACATAGTACATACATATTAGAAGGGTTGAACTATTAAGGAAAATACAATTTATTTTTGTATTTTATGCTGGGACAGACACAGAATGATAAAAAAACAGCCTCCCACACCCACACACACCAAACGACCAAATACATTTATATAAATAATAAATTGAAGAATCACAGTAACAAGTGCAACTGTTTTAACTGTTTTAACATGTTAACTTTTAACATTAGATTTAATATGATATGCGAATAACATCGTATATCTCCTCAGTTTTACAAAGCACTGATTTTCAGATATCCGGTTTTGGCCATTATTCAAGTAACGGGTTATTCGAATAACCAGTTTTAGAATATCCGGTTTTAGCAACTATTCGACTAACCGGTTTTATCTGAAATCGGTTTTTACGGAACCCGGTTAACCGGTTTCACTTTTTTCCATTTTTTGCCAGCACTAGTTCCGATATAAAAAAAAGATTATTCTTAGGGGCGGACGTCAGGAGGCTATAACTCCGAATGAGGAGGCCACTTGGCAAAAATAAAAAATACGGGTCCCCTAAATTTGTCCTAAGAATCTGTGACCAAATTTTGTTGCATGAATTTCGGGACACCCTGTATTTTAATACTTAATTTTTTATTAGAATACAGTAAGAAAAATAAATATTATTCACGCCTCAAAAAGGAAATATAAACAAGTATAGTTTCTGTAAAATTGTATGTATCTCATTTCACCCCATTCATGTTTATGTTATCTTTAATCACTAATATTATTCAATTCAATATTATTTTAAATGACGAATTGTCTAATACTGCTACACAATTTTGGACAGCAGATAGAATAATAGCAATGTCAGAATTATACATGGCTGGCAACGGTATATGGTCCATCTGCCTTTACATGAGAGCGACAAAGTAAAGAAATCTGTGCGATAGACAAGGATGGCTATAGTGAAGACGTTTCCTAGTCTGAATAGTCAGTCCCACTTCTAACCGAGCGCATCCCACAACGGGCTGTTACTATTCAGATTCTTAAACATCTTCAATATAGTCTATGGTACGGATTTCTATGACTTACTCTCACGTAAAGGCAGACAGACTATGAGGAATTTCCAGCCGTGTATATAAAAAGCTGCCACAAAATACATAATTAATACTTAATCCCAGATCATTAGTTCAATCCCGGGATTTTCAGGATGAAAGTCAACTAATCTCGGGATTAGTCCTGAAAAAATAACTTCAGTGGTTTAATTATTGTTTATTAAATCAAAAGGCAGAATTAGGATCGTTAATCCCGGGTTTTTTGGGACAGAATTTTTAGTGAGTTCCTGGGATTGGCACCACTAGTAGAGCTGTTTTAATATCTCATGGACCGCGAAATGCGCGAAAGGCGTGGCGTATCCGCATAATTCTTCTAATAAGCACGTTGTGAAAACATTGACTCAGAACTAGAACATGTGCATTATTACAAGTAGAAATGAACTAAGGCGCACGGGCATCAATAAAGTGAACTGACGAACGTTCGTTATACGGGTGTAACGTAAAGGTTGGAAATAAATGAAACGGCGGATTTTTTATTTTAAAAAATAAATATTTATCATATAAAGTTATGCTCTACGGGTTTTCTTTTCCAAGCTACAGGACGCTAAAAAATTTCAAAAAATTTAGTTTTTTAATATCATTTTCAATGCAAAAGTCTTTTTTCAATGCCTGTTTGACCATATTCGGTGGCTGAGTCAAAGCATATTTCATAATGTTTTTGTTACTTTTATTTTCCTATGTTAGCGGGAAAAAATGGTAATTACAAAAGTTCTATTTACGGAAAAATTACAAGAGCTACAAATAAAACGCAAGAGGGTAATTTTGTTTAAAATAAAAATTGGATCATGAAAAAATATTTAAAAAATGTTTTTACCAGTGGCGTACAACAATTTTCTTCGAAAAACCTTACTTTACAATCCGTACGCACGCCACTCAGTAACTTACAAAGTCAATCTTTTTCCTGTTACTAGGGGATTATCAAATTAAGCTAAGGCTAAAATTTCGTTCCATTATCTTATAATGTTCGAAAGTTATTGGAGAAATACTAAAATTTTTGAAACTTTTTAGCGCCCTGTAGCTTGGAAAAGAAAACCCGTAGAGCATAATTTCATATGAGAAAAATTTATTTTTTGAACCAAAAAATCCACCGTTTAATTTATTTCCAACCTTTACGTTACACCCAGTAAGTATATATTTTTATTGCTTAAATTAAAATAATAAAGAATAGGGCATTTTATTATGATATGTAATTTGTATTTACATAATAATTGTAGATATACAAAAAAATTATAAAGGTTAACAACCCAAGTCATCATCATTATCATCATTATCTGAGGAATTAAAGAAATCACTTTCATCACTATCATTATCGTCTATGCGTATTATAAGTTCATTGACTTCGTCAATGAAATGTTCGCGGCTAATATATTCTTCTTCTACTTTTTCCACATGTTGACAGACATTGTTCCATACATCATTTGTGACATTTGCCAATTTTTCTTCTGCTAATCTCCAAACATCGTCCATTTTAAATGTCGTATTGCATATTCCAACTTCATTCTTAACGATTGCCCATATTTTTTCTATTGGATTCAATTCAGGATGATACGGTGGTAATCTCAGCACAATATGGCCATGTGTGGCTAATAATCTATCCATTATAGTAACACTATTTTGTGGTTTATTAAGTTTTATTTTTGCATATAGTTCAGGTTTAGTTTCTTTGTCTCCAAAAACAATACCACGTTCTCTGAGCCAGTGTTGCATATCTGCTTTCAGCCAGTTAGAAGTTGGATTAGGCTCTACCAGCACATTATGATACGATGCATTATCGACTACTAAAACTGAATTGGGATCCAAATTAGGAATTAATTTTTCCTCCAGCCATTTAAAATAGTTTTTTTGATTCATATCATCGTGGTAGTCTCCTGTTTTTAAACCAGATTTAAAAATCAGTCCGGCATTAGGAACAAATCCTTTTTTACTTCCAGCATGGACAACAATTAGACGTTTTCCTTTGGCTACAGGTGATTTTAAACAATTCATTGTACCATCGTCCCAAGTTTTTGCCACAGTATGACTACTGTGGATGTATGTTTCATCACTATACACAATATTTTGCCCTAAAAAAACAATTCTTAAAACAAGTGGCCGAAAAATAGTAGTAATTAATAAATAACAATAATTTTTATTTTTCAGTTACATTTTGAACATGAAATTATAAAATGCAAAACCAATATACCTTCTTCTTTATATTGTTTTAATTTCCTTAAATATTCTGTGCGTTTTAATCGTATGTCCGTTGTTTCGCATAATGCTTTTCTATTATCTTGACTTTTCTTCCAACGAAATCCCAGTTTATGAATTATTTTTCTAAAACTTGAAATTTTTCCAATTAAATTCAAATCATTTTTTACAGCATCAAACAAGGCTTTCATAGTTACACGTCGCTTATAAATAGCTGCGAATCTATAAACTTCGGTTCGAATTATTTCTTCATCAAACTTATCTAGGGTTGTTCTAGGACTTGGTTTGTTTATTTTCTTCCTAGGCGACGACAGACTAGCAGACGGACTAGCTTCATGTTCACGTATTATTCTTTTGATCGTACTTAATGAAACACCTGTAGCCTTGGCTACCCGGACCTGAAGCTGTTCTAACTTAAAAGGATTTTTATTTTCTTTTTCTTTTTTCATAAATTCATAAACGTTGTAAACTATCTGACGTCCTTGACTGTGCACAACTTTCTTATTGTTTTTAGACCTATTAAAAAATTAAAATCCAATTAAACATTTGTTTATGCAGGTCTGAATTTAGAATAATAATAATTTACCACTAAATGTATACATACATTTCGGAAAATGATCCACTTATATGTTTTAACTATCAGTTTAAAACTGGGAATAAAATTTGTAATCGGATTGTTTACGCTACGAGAATAATAGGTGTAATGTTTTTAGGACGTAGAATAATTTAGGCGACGGTCGGAATTATGTTTCTGCGCATATGAAGGTCAAAGCCCATAAGATTTTAAAACAACTCTACTGTGTTGTTGAAATATAGATTTAACACCACAAACACCTTAATTCAGGTTCTCTTTTGTTGGAGACTACAATGCTATTAGGAGTTGCTATGCTAAGTAAAATTAATGATGTGTTAATATGTTAATTATATAGACAGTTTATATAGTCAAAATATTGTAAGAATTTATTTAATTTTTTCACAGTTGGCGAAGTACCCAATAAACAGAGGAAAAACTAAAACTATGCCACATATAAATAATATCAGATATTTCCTTTGTGATTGAAACTGCTAAAAAATTTTTATGTTACTATAAATTTTGTCTTGTTGTTATTAACAAGTAATTTCTATATATTATTATGTATCTGTAAAAGTAAATGTTATGTTATATTAATCGAAAACCGTTTCTCTCGGGTACGGTACAGTGGTTGAACGGTCAGTACCGCATCATAAAATTTTCGTGAATTTTTTTATATTTCGATACTAAAAAATTGTGGTAAAAAATTAAGCAAAAGTATTTTGATCCTAAGAAAATCATCCCTCTTATCATTTAGGGGCATATAATCCAAGAAATGGATATACACATACGCCTCTACGTGATAATAGGGACGAAAAAAGAGTCAAATATTTATGGAACTATTTCGAAATTTTGAAGAAATTTTGGTGTAAATCACAATTTAATCAACATTACGTGTAAGGTCTTAAGGTAGTACTGTCGGTTTTAGAATTACCATTCAAACTTGAACGAAACTTTGTGTACTGGCTATTTATAGGCTAAAAGTAATTCAATTAAAATTTTGTGAAGCACCCTAGAGAAAAGTTATGACGATTTTTACTAGATAGATAGATAGATAGATAGATAGATAGATAGATAGATAGATAGATAGATAGATAGATAGATAGATAGATAGATAGATAGATAGATAGATAGATAGATAGATAGATAGATAGATAGATAGATAGATAGATAGATAGATAGATAGATAGATAGATAGATAGATAGATAGATAGATAGATAGATAGATAGATAGATAGATAGATTTATTTAGTTCAGATGCAATATACATCATGCTCAAAAATGAGCGTTGAACAAGTCAAGTTTAAAAAAAAACAGTGCAAATATGACAAACTAATGCTAACATTAAAATAAAAGTACAAAATCACATAGGAAAAAATACAATAATACAATAATATAACAAACATTAAAATAACATCGAAAAAAAAAACACATTTTAAAAACAATAGGATAGATTATCATTGAAATATTCATCCACAGCATAATAAGCCTTCGCTGCCAAAAATGATTTCAATTTCTTCTTCAGAATCTTAATAGGTAAAGCACTAGTACTGTTAGGTAACTTATTAAAAACTTTTATTATAGAGTGGGGTATATTTTTTTGGATGTAAGTAAATTGAGGTACATTCGGCGTTAACACATCTTTATTCCTTGTATAGTACGCGTGTTCTTTTTGGTAGCTGTCGAAGAAGGATCTGTTTTCAGTTACAAAGATGATTGCCTCATAAATATACAAACCTATTAATGTGAGCACGTTCTTAGAAATGAAAACATTCTTGCAGGATTCTCTTTGAGTCATATTTAAAATATTCCTAAGACATCTCTTCTGCAAAACAAATATTCGTTTCGCATCAGAGGACATGCCCCAAAAAATAATTCCATATTTAATTCTGGATTGTATATAAGCAAAATATGCCGAAAAAGCTGCTTCAACATTAATATTTTGAGACAATATCTTTAACGCATAACAATATTGGGCCATTTTCCGCTCTAAGGAATCAACATGGTACCTCCAATCCAGACGCGAATCAATTGTGATTCCCAGAAACAACAAATGATTTACAGATTTTGGCTCATTAACCGTATTTGCAAGTGGTAGTTCGTGACCATTTCCCCTTGAAAATGTTATCATTTGGGTTTTATCCTTGTTTAGCTGTAAATTCAATGAAGCAAAATATTTTTTCAAAGTTTCAACAGTATTATTTATAGTTCCTTGAATTATATTATGATCAGATGAATCAAAAACTATTGTACTGTCGTCAGCATACTGAACCACATATTCATTTGTTCTTAATGGTAAATCATTAGTATATATAATATACAGCAATGGTCCCAATATTGATCCCTGAGGTACACCTTTCTGTATTAACATTTTATTTGATTTTATAAATTTTCCCAACTTATCAACTTCTGCAACGCATTGCATTCGATCGTGAAGATATGATGCTATCAGATTCTTTGCCACGCCTCTTATGCCACATTCCAATAATTTTGTTAATAAAATATCATGATCGACACAATCGAACGCTTTAGACAAATCCAGGGAGACAGCCACTGTTTCGTGCTTACGATTCATCGCATCTAAAATTTTAGATAATGCCTGATAAACTGCTCTAACAGTTGTTTTGTTTTTCCTAAACCCATTTTGAGTATCCGACAACAAGTAATATGCTTCAAGAAATTTTATTAATCTGTTATATATAATTTTTTCAAAGATCTTACTAATGTTAGGAAGTAAAGCAATAGGTCTATAATTCGAGATATCATTTTTACAACCTTTTTTAAAAATTGGTTTTATATAAGAAGTTTTTAGTTTATCTGGAAAGATACCATTCTTTAGACATAGATTTATAATATGGGACAAAGGATATGAAATCTCGGTACTTACAAATTTCAACAGTTTAACGGGAATTTCATCATCACCTACAGAGTTTGTGTTCTTTAAATTCATTACAACATTATATACCTCATTAGGATAGGTAGGTTCTAAAAATATACTAGGCTGAATATAAGATATAGATTCATATTGTACTGCTGTTTGTAATTTAGGACATTGATTTATAAAATGACTATTTATGCCGTTTAGTACTCTTTCTTTGTTTTTTTCTTCAGGATTAATATGACATAATACCGACTCGGTGTTGTAATTTTTAAAATTTGTAAACTTTTTTACTAGATTCCACATTGCTTTACCTTTATTTTTTGAATTTTCAATATAATAAATATTTAAAATTTTTTTGGCTTCGGAGATAACATTTTTTAATATCTTGCAATACCTTTTATAGAAATCCTTAGATATTATTCCTTCTAGTTACTGTTTGTAAAGAACACGTTTCCTCCCACTTGATATCTTTATACCGGTTGTTATCCATACTTTGGATTTATTTTTTATTTGGACAGTTTTAATTGGGAATAGTCAATTTATCAGATTTTTAATTTTGTAAATAAATACTTCATAAGAAATATTTACATCGGTGCAGGAAAAAACATCATTCCAGTTCAATAGCTGAAGTTCACATTTGAAGTGATGCATTTTAACCTCTGAAAATATTCTTTGTTTTACAAAATTCTTAGCATTGTTGGAAAGCCTTTCCTGCATCCCAAAGTTCAAAAATTGCCCTTTGTGATCTGATAGAGCCGTGTCATCGACTACACCCAAATATGGATTGTCATAATTTATAAAAATGTTATCTAGTAATGATTTTGTATTTACCGCAATAACAAGAGGAGTCTTATGGAGAACCTCCTTAAATAAAACTTTAAAGATATAACGAAGAAGACGTTGATCGCTTGCATTTATCAATTCAGTTCTTATAAGTGCAGACTAAACATATAAAATTGTTGATATCCATAACTCGCCATGCAATCTGGCAACACAACTAAACAGATTGAAGTGTGCGCTATCCGAATAGTCAGGCACTGGCAGGCAATAAAAGGAATTCGAAGGATGTATCATTATTTAGTTATGTATGTAGTGCAGAAACAAACAATGTTATGATCTTCATGAGATTTATTGACGTCCACATTTTGCAGATTAACAAAAATGAGAATTCCTATCTGAAAGGAGATTCTCCATAAGACTCCTTGTTACTTTTCTCTCGAGTACCATAGCTTCACAAAATTTTAAGTGGGTTACTTTTAGCCTATAATTAGCCAGTACACAAAGTTTTGTCCAAATCTGACCGGTAATTATAAAACTGTCGGTACTACCTTAGAGGAAAAAATAACTTTTTTTAATAATTATTTTGTTTTATCCTATATTAATATTTACAAAGTTTATAAATGAAAATTAAGAAATGTGACATTAAAAATGTAATTTTCATTTATCTCAACAGTACATACATTTTTGTCATTTGAAAATACTGTGAATATGAATTTGAACAGTCCCTGTAAGTATCCACCCGTAATTTAAAAGTTTCTATACAAGGTAAAATAAAGTTTCTATATTTAATAATGTTCTAAACATTATTATTACTTGATATTTAAACTAAAATTCTTACCGATCTCTATCCCTATCACCATCTCCGTTAGGATAGATAGAATTTTTGTAGACTTTACTCATTATAAATCTTTCCAGAGTCACCTTAATTGCTTTTTCCCTATTATGAAAAATGCCTGAAAATTACCAATTATTATTATACAAACACAAAAACGACATAATTGAAACATTATTAAAGTGTTCATTTTGGTACATATGGAAATAAAGCTCACCCTGAAATGATGGGCTACTATTCATAATAGAATATAATTTTCGATAGAAGTTAAGAAGGAAATCACATTTTTCATCAGCTAAACTTAACTGCTTAAATTCATCACAGAATTTCAATATTACTGCTTCCTGTTCAGAGAGAAAATCCCTGACACATTCTGTAGCCAGATACCTTTCACACTGTTGACGATCATTTGATATTTGATTTTGTAAACTAAAAATTAAAATAATATCAAAAATATCAACCTCTAACAAGAAAACTTACCTGTCAAGGTATCTATCACAAAACAGTAATTCTTGTTTAGAGGTAACCAAATACTGTATGTAAGTGGATCTTAAAATAATATCTTCTCTCATAGATTTTAACAATTTAAGGCAACTGCTGTCATTTAATAAATTAACACATCGTATTGCTTCTGAAATCCTAGCAACGCTAGACCATTCTCTTAGTTTTCTTGCTTTACCCAATTCAAGTCTCAACACTGTCTCTATTTTGTTCTTAGCACTAATAGGATTATTCTAAAAATGATAGGTGTTAGAAAACATGATTGTGTTGTCACTCGAGGGGACACTCCTTATTCAAAAATAAGCTTGCATGCAATGGATTATGTTCAACTTCTTAATAAAAAATAAATTCAATGCTATCAGAAAGTAACTTTCAGTCATTTTCAAATGCCTTGTCTATCTACGATAAAACAAAAATATATTTGAGTTGGCAGAAGCCATTTTATTTTATTTCTGAATGAGGAATCTTCCTAGAAGTGATGTCACATGTTTTTTGGAACACCCTATACATAAGTAACATCAAGGAAAAGATGTTTTCCCTTAAAAAATTCTTACCTTAACATAATGTGGAATTTCAGATGTATTACTTAAAATTAAACGCAATTTATTCTTAATATCATTAAAACTATTTACTTCTTCACTATTAATATTAACTACATTTCTTTCTTTAGGAGATTTTGTTACATCACAGTTTTCTTTTGTCGGACTGCTTTCGACAAATGGCTTTGTTCGATACTTAGCTAAGATGTCGTCTGACACCTCTGAAAATAAAGAAAATAAATATGTTGAAAACATAAAACTGGTTTTATAATTAACAATTTTTAACCCAAGAAATTGTTCAAGAAACTGTCACCATTCGCTGTATTTGTGGCACCATTCTGTATGATCACTGATCTGATATGTATCACTGATTTTATAGGCTATAGTCAAAGTAACGGCTGATGCTTGCTAACAAATTTTGATGTTTGTAGGCCGTCGGGATCCAGGGGGCATTGCATATTACATACAACACTTTTATTACTGTATTATAGCAGTTTAAGTAACAATTTGCTTCATTTTAAGGCATGCTTTCTTAGATCAAATGACGTTGATCACGCTGTCGCCGTGCCACGGACTGCCTATCTTCCCGTAAAACTGTGGGCAGTGTCAGCAATTAGACGGACTCTCTTATCCTATGTATCTAATGTGTCGATCAAATTTAAGGTTACCAACTTTTAGAATAAAAATTATGAAAATAAAATTCAAACAATGAAGTCGGACTAATGCAACTGCAATAACAAACAAATATAACACATGGCATAAATTTTAGCGTTATATTTATACATAGACTACCTTTAAGATTGACGTTTAGGAATCCATGTCTCTTGTGTGTGTGTGTCAAATTCTATCGTGCAACCCACATTTTTTTTGTAATTTTCATACTAAACAGCTGGAGAGGCTAGAACCTTAAAAAACTATGCATACCAGCCATGAACACATACCCAAGGTGCTCTTTGCATCAAAAAAATGTGAAGCGTTTTGTCACTGAATATTATTCTATAATGAAAGTTAATGTGAACTGTATAAACAATTTTGCTACAATTCTTTATCCAAATTTATATTTCATTTAGAAAATTTTAATTAAATCAACTTGACATACTACATTGTTATTACAGAAAACTTTTTTTTAAATAACTTCTCCATCTCCCTATTGGTAAATAAGAGAAGTGGTATGAGATTTTAGTTGAACTCATTATTGACAGATGGCGCAATTAAAGCACGGTTTAGCAATTCACAGCTGTTCACCAAATTCGTTTTAGTTTTATATAGTTTTTTATTTTCCAGATAACATTGATTTTATACATGTTTCATGTTTCTGTTAATATCTAAAAAGGTGACAAACACCCCATTGGAAGCTATGGCAAGCGTAGTTGTCAAATCTTTTCAAAACTAAAATAACTGTAACAAAATGAAGCAGGTAACACATTCGTCCATTCTTGTTTTGCTGCATTAAAGTCACGTTTTAACGCATGCTGAGCATTTATCGGCCGTCACAATGGCTGCACCATTCCTGCCTTCAGAAAATAGCTGAATCACTTTCAGAAAAGTGAAAAACAGTGATAGCGATATTTACTGATTGAACGGCAAAAGCTATTTTATATTTAAACGCATGCTGAATATTTAAGGCCTATTGAGCCAAGACTTCTTGAAATTCAAGCAGCTAAAGATTCGGTCCAATAGGCTTTAGGTTCGACCAACTGATTTATTGCAAGATATAACTGATATAATGATATAATGATCATATCGATTCTTGTATCCCTCAAGCGATGCTCGTCACTAAAACTTTTTACTTTTCTGAAAGTGATTCAGCGATTTTCTGAAGACTGAGGAATGCTGCAGCCATTGTGACGGTGAATAAATGCTCAGCATGTGTTAAAACGTGAGATATCTTGTGTTGCTTAAAGATTTCTGAAGGTGCTTCAGCTATTTTCTGAAGACTGGGGAATGCTGCAGATATGCTGATGACGAATAAGTGTTCAGCATGCGTAAAAACATAAGATGTCGCTCAAGCAGTACGTGTCGCTATCGCTGTTCTTCAGTAGGTGCTTCACCGATTTTCTGAAGAATGAAAGATGATACAGCTATTTTGACCACGGATTCGCATTCAGCACACGAAAATACATCAAGAAACAGCCAGCTTGGTCAGTTTATAAAGAAATTTTTACTATTACTCGCCCGTAAATCATTGGAATTGATGGTCATCGAGCACGTGGGTTCGATAACTTCAGAAGACTGTAGCTTCAGAACAGTAGTTTTTAGACCTAGGTCCCATGAACTTTTTTGATCGACACATTGAGGACTATCATTTGGAAAAGTTTCATACCATTTGATCGGGACCGATTTTCCATAAGGGAAATTGCGGTGTCTTTTATCAGATTAGTAAATATTTTTATTTCTTTTTTGTTATGAACATTTTATAAAACATTTTAAAACACAACAAAACATAAATTAATTTTACATATAATTAGTAATGTATACCTATCCACATACCAACATTAGTTAATATTTAATAAACCATGCAAAAATATTCATTAAAAAAGGGCCCAATTTTTTTATGTCAATGTGTACCAAACATAATAAAAGTAAGGTAACTTTAAAATAACACGTCGCAAATTCGTACATAAGCGATTTATTTTAATGAAACTATTTTCCATTATAGTTTCATTATCTGCCAATCCGTTAATATCATAGTTACTTTAAGAAGGTAACATCAGGCGACACTGAGAAGCGCATAATTACAACCATGTTCGGGAACTACTCAGTGGTGCCAAAGTAAATTGTTTGTATATAATTTAAAAAACCAATTGTAACTCGTCCATCTATTTGATTTGAAAGAAAATCATTTCAGATTAGTATTCTGGGGAACACATACTTTACAAAACTGTTCCCCACTTAATCTACCACACCCTGTACATGTAACCTGGTTTTTAAATATTTACAATAAACTTCCAAAATTGTTAGTATTGATTAGATATTAAAGATCCTAAAAATCAGAATCTCAATTTCTTAAACAATTTAGAAAATTTACAATTTCTGTATTATTTCCTAATTTCCAATATAACCAATTCCTTGATCAATTTACGGGATCAAACGTTTGGCCAAATATTTTGATTACACCCTGTATATTATCTGCTCTCATCATTTCCGTCTACTTAATTAAAAAAAATAAAAACCAATTTAGTCGACAATTAAACAAAAAAGAATTTAAAAAATGAACTAATATATTAGAATTATTACCCCAAAACACTGAAATTATCATCCTGCTTACCTGAATTATTATTAATTTTCATTGGAGATTCCAATTTTTTGTTCAATCCAAACTCATCGCTTTCCAATTTGAAGTCGTCTTGATTTCTAAACGCCTTCCCTCTACTTCTGCTTTTAAAGCCAATTCTCAGTTTCCCAAAGAATCCTCCCCTTTTAGATCTACTGTCATCATCCAGACCTTTATCAGCGCTCATATCAAAGCTAATACTCTTAGGAATTGCACCAGTTGATACCGAGGGTTTTAAAATCCTATTATTAAGGAGGGTTACTGATTTTTTATTTATAATATTCACTGGATTAGAAATATTGTTAACGCTAAGAACGGAAAGTTCGCTTGTACTTTCCGATGGGGTTAGAGTAACATTCAGACTACTGCCGGAACTATTCAGCCACTGCTTGTTCTCCCACTGTTCAGACGTTTCAGTGTGTGAGTTCTTGTTATCGAAACTGTTACTGCTACTCCCACTAGAACTGGAGTTCAAACTGCAGTTGCTAAGCAAAATTTCGTTCGATCGGTCATCGTACTTTTTTATGTTTCGGTTTTGTTTTATATACTCATTTTCGGCTTCGACTAAATTAAGAGGTTTCTTGTTTAAACCGCTAGGCCCAGCAACATTATTCAAATCGGACTCCTTCAAAAATGAATTTTGCACGCCGTTATTAACAACTGTTGTAACTGTCGAGGCCATCGAGCTAAAGGAGGAGGTTTTAATATCAGAATTGGATTCGGAAAATGTTAATGAATGTTCTGAATTATTCAACGTTAACGATTTAAATACTGTATTCGCATTATTATCTGTGTGTTCGGTATGGTAAATTTTGCCATTAATCCTATCATTCTTAATATCCATCTTTTTATACTCCTGCATATTTGTTGCTGTAACGTAATTGGTAGCACTTCTAGTTGTGGTAGTAGAGTTTGCCGTTGAAATTGGTAAATAGTTTACAGTATTACTCGCACTGCTAGTAGGCAAAAAGGGGTTATTGGAACTGATATAATTAGTTGAGCTAGACACCGTCACAGTAGATACGTAATTCTGATTGCCTGTTGTCGCAACGTTACTGGCATAAGAACTGGATGAACTGGACAGCCTACGAATTCCGCCGATCTCGTCAGTTTCAGACCTCGTGTCATCAGATCTAGCAACACTATTAGTGTCGTCAGACTGTGCGACACTAACAGTATCGTCGTTATCAACCTCAGTCAAGCGCTCGGTATCTGAAGTCATCACATCAGTAGACCAAGCACTTTCACTCTGTGTTTCCGAAATGTCCAACATATTCGCTGATGGAACCTCCTGTATTGCCTGTTCCACTAATTGTAAACTGTGTCGTTCATTCCTCGAATCTCCGGCATCGATGGTTTCATTATCTGAAGCCAAAACATCGGTGCTCCAAGTTTCCGAAATAATCGAGATAGTCTCATCGCCTTCCAGCAGCTTCTTAATTTCAAATTTGCAGAACTTATCGTCGATTTCCGATCGAATTTGCCTGCTGATGTTCTGTTGCGGCTGGGTAGTATCTGCCTGTCTTGCTTCGGCCATGGCACGATCATCATTTTCACATACTTGGGAGCTGGGGGTGTCGCGACCGGAGATATTTGGAGTGCCTCTGCCAGAAACATTAGCAGACACCATATCGGACAGGTTGTCATTTTGATCTTCATTCTCTAACTCAATACTGCTGTCAACAGAGTGATTGCTGGCTGCTTCCGATATAGCTTCCAAGTTATCGGATGTGTTTCCTATAGACCCTTCGTCTTGGAAGTTAAATGATTGTTTGATATCTCCGTTTTGATTTGGCGTACCCGGCATGCTCGAAGCTAGCTTCGGCGGATCACCGTCAAAAATTTCGCCGTTTCTTACAGGCATACTCATGTCTAATATCTTTTCTTCTGGCAGTAAACCAATAGGATCTGCCTGTGCCTGGTTCATTGGGAACATAAGAACTATATTACATTGAGTCTTTATTTCTTCTGAAATTGACCGAGGTATAAGATTTTTTCCACCTAAAACAGAAAAGATTGTTGAATTAATAAAACCTTTGTATTCGTTTTAAGTTATTACCTAAAGAAAAGAAATTAGGCTTTTTTGGAACACTATCTTCGTTATTTGTTAGTCTCGAAGACTTGGGAGAATTATCTCTTGATAAATTTAATGATGACAATTGTTCTTCGATTTCTTCGTCATCTTTAATAAAGTTATCATTCTGTTTCAAAGACAATTGAATTCGTTGAAGAATAGATACCTAAAAATAGTTTTATTACCTTAAATCTATACAAGGCGGTTCAATGTTTTTCTTTATCCTAAGAATAGGCAGATTATTAAAAAGTAGTAACTTTTTGGAAATAAGGTGCGTTAACAAGTCCTAATTTTTTTTTAGAATATTTTCCAAACACAATATTCCATCATTAAAATTTTTATATGTTTTTAATGGTAAAAAATGGGGGTAGATCCTTCCAAAATAAAAATGGATGTGCTATATTTTTCTAAATCTATTCATTTTGCAATAAAAAAAGCACTAGAAAGTTTCTTGTTAATCTGACTGTTTCCAATAAAGCATATTATTTATTAATGTATCTTAATAAATAACTACATTGAAAAGAAATTTTAGGGTCTCACTTAAATTTAATAAACAGGATTACAAGAAGCGCAAGAGAATTTACAATTTTTTTTATAATATAAACACCCAATATCTCCCACTTTCTACTCTTTATCACATTAATAAAATTAAACTACAAAAAACACATTTAAAAAATTAATATCTTTATGAAAATGAAAAACGTTTTACAATTCAATGGTAAGTCTGAAAAATGAAGAATATATTTTTTTATAAAACTTCCCAACTAGTAAACGTTTTTTGAATAGAGCATATACAGGGTGTAATTGGAAAGGAGGTCATTATACAGGGTGTTAAAAAAAGAATGTAAAATATTTCAGGAGGTAATAGTATGAACCAAAATAAGCAGAAAAGTCTTAATAAACATGGGTCCCCAAAGTAACGGTTGCGGAGATATGGACCACTATTCGTTTTTCAAACATTTTATTTTATTAGGAATAAACCGACAAAGGAAGCTTTTAACAAACAAAAAACAAAGTTACAGAAGATGTTCAAAGTGCCCACCGTCCATTTCCAAGCAGGCACGACATCTTCGTCTCAACGATATTCGAACTCTTTCGAAAACACCCTCCTTGGTTTGGATTTCTTGACACTTTTGATTAATCCGTAGCTGCAGCTCTTCCAGGCTATTTACAGGAGTACCATAAACTAATGTCTTCAAATATCCCCAAACAAAGAAATCTAGAAGGTTCAGATCAAGCGATCTTGGAGGCCATAAAACAGGTCCGGCCCTTCCTACCCATCTCTGTGGAAAAGTTTGGTGTAAATGCTCTCTAACCGCCATGGAAAAATGAGCTGGAACACCATCATGCTGGAACCACATTTGTTGCCTCTGATTCAAAGGAATGTCTTCCAAAAACTCATACAGTGTGTTCTGCAGAAAGTTGAGGTAAACAGCGCCTGTTAATCGGTTTGGTAAAACAACAGGACCTAGAAACCTGTCACCTACAATACCCATCCAAATGTTTAATGAAAAACGTGCCTGATGTCCAGATTCTATTAGAGCATGAGGATTTTCGTTGGCCCAAATATGCGTATTGTGAACCCGGTCTCATCAGTAAAAAGAATGTTTGCAAGAAAACGAGGGTCTTCAGCATCATGACGTAGAAACCAGCGGCAAAAAACCAAATGTGCTTGATGATCATTTATTGGATTTAAGGCCTGTACTCGTAGCACATGGTATGGATAAAGCAGTTGCTCGTGAAGGATTCTCCAAACAAGAGGACCACTAATTCCTACCTCGGCTGATATTCTCCGCACACTCGTACCTGGATTCTGCTCTACCAGTGCTAGAATTTCTTCTTCTGCTCTAGGAGTGGATACCAACCTCGGTCTTCCGGATAAATGACACTGTTTGCTCAAGGAAGCGGTATCACGCAATCTTTGGTAAATTCTTCCAAACATGCTTTGTGAAGGAATCTGGCGATTTGGATAAGCGTCAACATAAAGACGTCGCGCTTCGGTGGCGTTCCCATTAGCACGACCATACATGAAATGCATGTCTGTTAATTCTGTGTTAGAGTAACCAGCCATAGCGAAAGAAAACTTGTGCACTGAGAACAACTGTCAAATACGTACTGTTTATTTCACTAAACATCAACCAACTATTATAAGAAAATACGCAACGTTTTTGCAAAATAAAAAAAGGGGCTAAAAAACATAAAACATTCCATATCTCCGCAACCGTTACTTTGCGGACCCATGTTTATTGAGACTTTTCTGCTTATTTTGGTTCATACTATTACCTCCTTAAATATTTTACTCTTTTTTAACACCCTGTATGGAAGCTACTTTTGGTCTTTAAAAGCACTTATAAGTTTGTTTTTTCAAATTTCGTCATGAAAACTGATTTTTTTAACCGTTTTTTTGTAATTTACATACCCCACTGCTGGACAGGCTAATATAATCTCAAACACCCACGCACTAGCCACGAGCACATACCCACTTGGGAGCTATAGCATGCTGTAACAGTATACAGGGTGTTTCTGAAATAAGTGCGTTCCTTGAAAATGGTGAAAGAGGGCAGGAAAATCAGCAACTTTTATTAAGCAACTGATGGTTTAAATGCTTTCGTTTTTGAGAAAATTAATTAAGAAAATTAACCATAAATGTAAGCAGACCCGTGCATCTTGTACACGTGCGTTGTGTTGCAGTATTACTCGCAACATTAGCCGAGAAGTGGGTGTATCTAATAGTACCTTGTGGCGTATACTATGGGAACAATTATTACACCCCTTTCATGTATAAAGGGTTCAGGCATTAAATAACAATGACTTCCAACCCAGTGTGGAATTTTACCAGTGGTTTCGACATTAAATAACACAAGATCCGGATTTTACAAGCAAGGTGCTTTTTATGGATGAATGGTGTTTTACTGGAGACAGCATACTAAATTTTCACAACATTCACTATTTGTGTGATGCAAATCATCATGCTGTACAGAGATCTTGGTTCTAGCAACTGTTTTCAGTGAATGTGTGATGTGGTGTTTTTGATGGCAAAATTTTGATCATTATTTTGGAAGCATATTTATTAGCACATGGAAACAACTTTGAACAAATTTTGTAGAGCATATCGTCTATTGGTAAGTAATTCGTTTATTCGTTTAATTTTTGTTACGTTTAAACAAAATTTGAATATATTTCAACAGTTTTGAACACAAAACCATCATACGCGCTTTGACACTGTGGGGGTGGCTTTAAATTACACACCCCTGCCCCCCCCCTAGCATGCCCATGAAAGTTATATCCTTTACTAAAAAAAACAAGACACTTCACTAAATAGGTTCCATTTTAAATTTCGCTATAAAATTAAACTTGATAGCGGTTTTACACAACGAAATTCATGAAATTTTTGTTCTTGAATAAATTTTAGTGCATAAAAAATAATTCAGTCAAAAAAATTATTTTTTTGTGTAAAACGGCTATAATAGAACACAACACTACAAATTCTATTTCAATTCCAGTAAAAACGAATAGCTCATGAAAAAAGCAAAGCGAGTTCGGGAGCTGCCCATTGTCAACATAAAAAAACTAAATACAACTCGTCGATATATATTTTATTTAAAAAACTTTATTTCAGATTAGTATTCTGGGGAATATGTACTTTTAACTTTAAAACATTGTTCTCCACTTAAAATTGCACCCTGTATAACAAATTATCACAATTTTTTGATAATCTCTCTCTTCTGAAGAAAAACAACCGAATCATTCTGTATATGATATTTTATATTATGTAGTTATAAATAATTACCAGATTATTAAGTTCCAGTTCAGTAAACAACATCATATCTCTTATTACGACAGGTGATGAATCAATAGGCGGTTCTTCGTTATCCATATCAAAAAACAGTAATTCTAAAAAGTTGTTGACTCTGTTCTTATCAAGCAAATCGAACAGATCAGCATATTTAGAGTCAGTAGGTTCGTACTTATATAGCGCAAGACTCTGTAAAATTTTGCCAATCTGTATCAAATTATGCCTTGCGATATCAGTTACTTGAGCATTACATATCCCAAACTGTTCTGGATCTACGATAACTGGACAAATGTATAAGGTGAATATCAACTCTGCAACGATATTATTTGCCTAAAACAAATAGTCGTTAGGGAATAATAGAAAAATACCTCTGTGGACTCGCCTCTTTCGAGCCATAAGATTTTTCTATAATTTTAGAAACGTTGTATACAATCCACGAAATGCATTTAGGAAAACTGTACACATTTTCTAAAAGTGACGATATAAAGATATTAGTAAACCGAACCAGTTTAGCAATAACTTCTTTCCTATATTCACTTGCATCTTTAAAAGTGTTACCAATTTCACTGTCATCTTGATTGTATCTGTAAAGTGACAAAATAATGAATATTTTCTCTTTACTGCATATACATAAATATATAAGGGGTGTCCACAGTCTAAGTGTCTAATAAAATACAAAAAAGTTCCATGAACATGAGTTCTAAACAGTTTTCGAGAAAAAACAGTTTGTATGAAACTTTCCAAAGTTCAAAATCAAAACATACAAAATACAAGAAATTATAGTAATATTTGCCTTTACAACTATGTAATTATAATTTATTTCTGGAAACATCACCTTATTTTGTGCAAAAATATAATAAACATCAGTTGTATCAGAATAAACAATATTCCATTGGTTCTGTCTACGTTGTTTTTATTGTCTATCAAACTGCACTCTTTCCACAAATTGTCAGTTGTTAATATTTTAGGTATATTAAATTGTTGATTTAAGTTTTCAGTTGCCAGTTAATTGGAAAGTCATTGTTAGTTATTATGTTTTTTAGTTGTTTATACTGTAGACATTTTTTTTTTTGGGATATTTTTTGTTTACCCTATGTGAATATTACATGTCATTAATATATGTACAACATATTTATTGTAACAAATATATAAAAAAAAATTTACCACTCATTTGTTTGTGTCATGTCTTGTTTTAGATAACACTAAAAGTGTTATTCTTTGCCCTGAAAAATAACCACAACAACAAATTGCTATGCAAACAAAAGACTAGACATTAGACACTCTTTATATTCAAAATAATGCATCTAAAACATCGCATAAAATACTTCAACAGTTACAGTACGTATGATATTTTTTGAGACAGAATTACAAGGCCCCTATGTCATTTTCTTGGAATTAACAGCATTCGACACCCGAGGTATAAAGACATGGGTCCATGTACATAAATAATTTTATCCCGTAATACTCATCGCTCAGCTGGCAATAATCTGCATGACAAACCTATTAATACAGGCTGTCTCCTAAAAAACGCCGCAAGCCATAACTCCGTCATTTATAGTCTGATTTTAAAAAACAAAAAATTATATGAAATGGCTCTAAATACACTATAGAGTGAGCCTATAGGAGCATATGTATTATTTTTTTTTTTTTGAAAAGCGATAGTCAACTTTTTTTTTCAAATAGCAATATAGGTTTCTTTTTAATTTATTGTTGTGCAGATTTCTGTTCTGAATTCAATGATATATGTAAAGTTTACTTTTGTGAAACATGTATTACAGAAAAAACATGGAAATATTAGTCAATACCGCATTATTAGCGCCCTGTCGCTTAATTGACAACAAACATATTTTGACTAATCATGTATGCTTGGAAAACAAAAAATAATACAACAAAGCAAGTAAATGTCATTTTTGCGTTCGTGTCCCAGTTTTTTACGCATTATACTCTTTCTGGGTCATTTACAGTAGGTTATTTATTAAATAAGCTCAACAGTGCAAAATATGAGTAATAATCAATAGGACATGATTCAGGTATACTTTCGGTGTAATAAAAAACGTGGTGCAGGAGTCCGCCTTTACAGTGAACTCACAGAGAAATTCCAGAACCACGTAGATTTGTAAGCCTTGAAGAAAATTTGAGAAACTATGGTGCTTTTAAGAAATTAAAACAAGAAGAATGCCAATTTAATGAAAACATAGAGCTCAATATTCTTAATATTAAAGAAAACCCAAGAACTTCCATTCAGGAAATTTCTAACAATATTAGAGGTACATGCAGTACTGAAAAAGCACAAATTCAAGCCATACATTCCTCAAAAAGTACAGGCATTAGAGGAAAACGATAGAGAACGACGGCTACAATTTGTTTCTTTAGTTGGTTTGTGTTTCTTGTTCTTCGTTTAATGTGTTTTGTGTTCAACTAATGTTATTTCGTGTTGAATTTTGTATAATGGTTAATGTATTTAATTAAATTGTTTTTCTTTTAATTGATATTCATCGCACTGTTTCTTTTCTGTTAACTACAAAATTCTCTTTCGAGTTTTATTTGCTTTGTTGTATTATTTTTTGTTTTTCATGGCACAGATGATTAGTTAAAATACATTTGTCGTGAATTAGTGGCAGGGCGTCGATTGCGGTATCGGCTAATATTTTGTCGTCTTTTCTGTAATTAATGCTTTACAGAAGTTAAGTTCATATACATCGTTGGATTCAGAAAATAAATCTCCATAATAATAACTAAAAAAAACTATATTGCCATTTGAAAAAAAAAAGTTGACTATCACTTTTCAGAAAAAAAAATAGTAAATAAGCTCTAACAGGCTCCCTCTATAGTGTTTTTAGAGCCATTTCATTTAATTTTTTGTTTTTTAAAACCAGACTATAAATAACGAAGTTATAGTTTGTGGCGGTTTTTAAGAGACATCCTGTATATATGTACCTCCCAAAACACTAATGGGTCAAAATGATTAATTATATTGAATATTAAAAACCTTGAATTGAAACAAATGGATTGCATTGTTAGCATACCTGTATCATCAGATATAAAACCTTTAGACTATTATTTAGAGGGTCAAATAAAAATGTTGCGTTCTAATGAAATTGAACATGAAGAGCAACTGAGAATCTGCAGCATGTATAAGACATTTGGATTGGTTTTCTATGTGCTTGTTTCGAACGTGAGACCTTTGCATCATGAAACTTTTGCGATATTCTGTTACATATTGGACAATATGGCACTTACATTGTAGACGTCCTGTATACATATATCTAATGCTATTCTCACCTCATGATTGTTTTTTCCGGATCAACATCTAAATAGTAGTCAGTACATGACATCAAAGTTATTATAGGCATTTCCAAGGCAGCATTTAAAAAGAATTTTGCTGGCTGGAAAACCTCGTGGAATAAAAAGTACAGGTGTTTGAAAGAACATGTACTTTGTTTAATTATCCTAAAATAGTTAAGATGAATTTATAAAACACATAGTTCACCTTACACATACCTTCGAGGGTTATCGCTACTTAGCAGCTGTAGTTTAGCTAGTTCATAGAGCAGAGTTAGCATAAATTTTGTATCCTCAGGAAAAATAAAACATCCATACAAACCAACTGCAATGCTTTGTAATAATAAAGAAATATTTTGTGACTCCTCCATGTGTTCTCCAATAATAAGCCATTTTGCTAATTGAACAGGTTGTGATCTCAGAACGTGCAACAAATTTCCTACTTTTAATGCATTCTACGGAATAAAAATATCTTTTATTTGGGCAAACTGGTAAAATTAAAGTCCAAAGTTTAAAACTGAACTACTGTACTTTTTACTATACAAAGCAGATACATGTAAAAAATTCAGGTGAAAAATGTTGCATAATTTTTTCTTTGCAAACCCATGTCTATTATTAACAATTTAAAACTTACAAGATGTTGAAACAAAAAAATTAAATTATTTTTAGCAGTAGCTCAGAAATTAAGATTTTTTATTTACTTGTAATAAGGTCAGTAAACTACTCATGATAAAAGTTTATAATTGAAAAATTATTCCGTTGTATGAATACGAGAGATTTAATCTGTTTCACCCGGCAACTTTTATACCAGCGAAAATAACTGAAATTTTATGATGCATTCCAAATTTTTGTGCAGTTTTAAGCAAAAAACAAAAAACAAAAACATTGTTTAATATATTAAGTGCCGTCATTTTTAATTATAAGGTATCAAAGATAATAATAACATGTAATCTTAACACCAAGCATTTCAATTAGAAAGATGGTTTTATGTAATTTATTACAAAATAGTATTAACAATTTATAATAAATTAAGTAATTATTACATCATAACCTAAAAGGGATAGCTACAAAATTATTATTTCTGAAATTATATATTTTTATTTTAACATTTTAAAAAACAGGAATATCGAATAAGACGGAATTATAAGTTATTATTAACTATTAGTTGCTATAGTTATAGTCGTAGTAATATAATTAGCCTCAAAAAAATGTGATGGCTAATTTGGAGAAGATGGAAGCCATGTAAAGCGACACCCAAATCCTACTCAATTATTTGGATACTGTTCTCTTAACCACTGAAATTGAACAGTTACTATAATTCTTTTTTATCTCATTGTTCTGCAAAACTAGAAGTTAAAATGCACAACATATTTCCAAAAAAATAACTGACAGTTATTTATTTTATACTCTTAACATAAATCTGTACTTAATTACATAAAAATATTCCCAAGACTTAACTGCTAGGAGTGATTTAGTACACAAATTTGAGCAATAAATGAGTAATACTGAGAATATTTGAGTAATACTGAGCAATATTTGAGTAACACTTAAGTAAAATTGGACATTTTACTAGATAGATGCCTTTAAAGAGTTCGGATAATTTATGTATTTCAGAATATCTATTAAAGAATATGCATAGTTCTAGTTCTATTCTTCTGTAAAATTACCCGATTTTTTTTTTATTTTTTTGTGATTCAGAATTGAACATACTCAAAAACATAAACCTGCAAAGTTTAGTTCAATTTTGACTGAACATCATCCATTTTTCTGAGACATATTTCGTAAATTCAAAAATTGGTTTAACAAAAATGTATTCTCACATATTACAACCAAATTAAACAATGTCAACAAACTTATAGGTGTGCAATTACCTGAAATCCCAGTGCCTTTTTTGCTTCAACAAGTTCTGAGTTAAGTAAATAATCCACTTTTTGGTAACTTTTTGAACTTACTACCCTCTGGTACAGCAACAAACGTTGTTTTGTAGTTATCCATGCTGATTTGATAATGTTATGTGTTTTACTTCTTATAAGTTCATTAATTTCTTGAATATTATTTTTCTCAATTTTCACTAACAATTTTTCCTGGCGTAGCTTTAAAATTAAGTTAAATACATTGACTTCTTCTTTTTCCAAAATTTCATTCTTCATGATGGTTTCTAAAAGAAATCTATTTTAATTTATTATTTTATTTATATTATTATTATGCAAAAACATATTCTGAAATATGAATCATCACGATTTTTCCAGACTTCATCTTATTTTTCCTATTCCAAATAATTTTCATCATTGTTTATTTCTACTGTTAAAATAAAAACTAAATTATTAATAAACAAATAAATAGCAAATACTGATGAAACAAAAATTTGAAATAAACTAACTACACTAGTAAAGTAAAGTAAAGTAAAAATACAAACATAAAACATTATACGTTTGTATTAAATATGAGAGTTTGATAAATATAAGTACATTATTTTCTTTTTAATATCAATTTATTAAACTTACAATTAGTTTTCATATTAGATATTATTTTTATATACAGTACGCGCCTAAGGTATGAAATAAATTCAGTAAAAACAAAACAAATTTTTTTTGGGAAAAATCCTCGAACAGGTCGATTTTTAATTTAAAAAAATACATATTTTAGCATAAAAGGCGATTTTCAACTGTCATTTGTTTTCGAGTAATGACGTCATCGACATTTTTTTTAAATTGCAACCCCCTATTTTTTTTCTTGATTTTGAAAGATTGTTTCATTGTTGATTCAACAGTATTAAAATATTGCCATATTACATAGGAAAGTTTTCGAGTAAATGACCAAAAAAATTTGTTTCGTTTTTAATGAATTTATTCCATACTTAGGCGCGTACTGTATGTACTACTGATAGTTATATCTGCAGAAATACTAACTGAAATTCTGATAAAGTCAAGACTTGGAAAATCAAAAATCATATGGTATTAATCAATGAATGATTAGCTATCAATTTTATATTTGACCAGTATCAGGCTGAACAGAATTTTTGTTCATCATATTTTTTTAATGGTTATTCGTAATTTAACTTAATTTGTTTGTGATATTGATATGCTATCTCTACTTGTTCTTTTTCTTACAAAAAATCAACAGAAAAAGTTAAATTTAGATTATCTATATTGAATGATTACTGATCATAAAAATTGTATGTTACATAAAATGATTCCTGATAAGTGATCACATAACTAATCAAATTGTGCTGTTCTGGCATGATGACCAATTAATGATGAGTAAACGATCAGAGAGAGGTCAGTGTGTTGAACACTATCACTGATGTACTTCTACAGATAAAAGGGAGTAGCCAAGGGGGGTCAGGGTAATGCCATATCCCCTCTAAACCTTCGAACCCCTTCAAAATAATAAAAACAAACTAGAATCACCTTACAAATCGACCTGTTTTAAGAGAAAAGCTGGACATATCTACTTAATTTTACCACTTCCATTTAGCACTAAAATCATAATGGCATCTAATATGAGAATCAAATTAACTAACCAAATGCATTACTTCCTCTCTTTTACATATCCTTAGTATTAAAACAACCACAGCTGTTTAACAATTTTCCCTAAGCCATAATCTTTAATCAAAATTAAATTGCCATGCTGATTTCGGGAGTTTAATAATTAAACCAAAATCAAACACTACTAAAACTATTTTTTTAGAGTGTTAGTATTAAATGAAATATTCTGTCATGATACATTTAACAGTGTTTATATTTTAATTATAGTAAAAAAATATGGTTACTACAGAAATATACTTTAAATAAAGGATATCACAGAAATACCTGCTTTCAACAGTTATAATATCACAAAACACTGGAGGTGCAATAAAACCAGAAATCGACCTTTTTCTTAAATTAGCGATTATCCTAAAGCTATAATTATAAATAAATACATATTTAAAGCAATATTTGACAGTTTACTCACCTAATAAAAACTTTAAGGTCCTACAATTTTTTAATTTTTTCTTTCACATTTGTTCATTGAATAATATTATTTTATTTTTTTCTCATTAAAAACTTAAAACGTAATCATTTAAATGATTATTTCCTGATGTTTCTATCCTAATTACACAAAAATGGGAACTAGACCACAAGAAGTTGACAGATGAGTGATGGGATGGGAGCAATTTTTGACAGTTTACAGATCTTACCACAGAACCGAATCACAGAATCTTTGTCGTACCAGTCCCGCGACATTATTCTATGGCTAGAAATTGGCCTCAATGATTTGGGATCGAGGGGGATTATCCCTCTTTATCCTGCCTCATCTCGTGTAGGCCTGGACAGCCTTCGTAGGTGGGCCCCATCCGTCGTCTACCCCGACCGCAAATGCGGCCGGTGTAGGCGCTTTGTGGGACCTCCTTTTGTCCTGGCTGGGCCCCGCCGGCTAGGGCCCTTTCTTCTGGCGCTCTTCTTGCTTCGCCGGCTCGTCTGTGTAAACCCCGGGGGTAGTGTCATGTTTATGTGTGGTATGGTTGGGTAGGGTAGTGCGGCTATGCAGCCTGGGATGCGCTTTGCTAAGGTGGCCCTTAG